AATTATCTACGCGACTTTAAAAATAAGAACTAGATAACCTTAGTAAGATAGTTATAGGCCTAACTCTAGATAGCTTACTATACCTTATTAAAAGAGATCACTATATAGCTCTTATAGGTAAGATAGCGCTTTTAAAACTAGAATTCCTTACCTTAGAAGATATACTAGGGCTCTTATAGGCGATTAAGCATATAACACACACATAGCTACTAAAATGGCTAGGTGGTTCTCCGCCGCTACGCGTTAAGCTATTTCTAAAATTATATATATCCTTTATTTCTAGCTACTATACTAAGACCTTGCCTAAGCTTACTATAGAAGCTACGCTCTATTATATAAGGATAGCGTGAATATATTAATCTTGTTCTTTATTAGATAATGTAGATAAAGCCTAGGTAATTAGTTTTATAGAAGACGTAAAGACTAACCTAGAGAAGGCATCTTTCTTATATAAGTAGTTATTTTAGTATACTAAAAAGTTAAAGGAGGTGGTTAAGGATATAATTTAGTTATTATAGTGAGAATAGTATAAGCTAGTTAGCCCTAAAGAGATCGCCGCTATTAAGGAAGCTATACTTATAAGGTGGTCTAGCTTAGCTACCTACTCTAGTTACTAGTATAACTATATTAATAGATATTTAGTATGTCTTATAGGGTAAATTCTATATATATAATAAGAGCTAATATAGGTGTAGTTTATAATTAGTAAATGTGGAATACTAATAAAGTAGGCGCGCTATCCTAAATGTGGTGTGGCTATTAGCAGATTAAACTATTAAAGTGTCACTAGCGTTATACGCGTAGGGAATATAGAGAATTAACCTAGTAATCTATATAGTAATGACCTATACTACACTAGACTAATATATAAGTTAGCTAATCTGTCCTCTAATAATGCTATAGTAGAGTATAACTAGCTTTAAGAATGTCCTAGATTTAATAGCGAATTTAATATATTCTCTCTAAATATATACTTACCTTTATAATTCTAAGTTTTCTATATAAAGCCACTGCTATTATAATTAACATTTAAAGGCGCTGGGTACTGTGTTGCTGATGCGGACGGACGGTGGTAGTGGTTTTCCCGTCTGCGATGGCGATAGAGGTTTGATTTTCTAGAAGGTGTAACTCACATAGGTCTATAAATGCGCTATAGTAAGATTTATCTTAATATATACCTCTACGCCTTAATAAAGTGGTAAATGCTAGTGCGGCTATGGTCCTTAAACCATAGGACACATCCTATTTAAACGTAGAAACTAGATAGAAGAACGATAAAAAATTATAGGTAAGTAAACACCTATGCATTAACATTAAGCGTATTCTCTATAGCTCGCTAATGGCAGCGCTAGCAGCAAGAATGATCCTGAGGACGGGACTACTAGGACAATTTCGAGCAGTTCCGTCCTCTGTACTCGACAGCGTAGACGAGTAATTTTAGTTATATAGAAGCTGAGGAGGGCCAGGAGAGGCCTGACAAGTTCAAAGACACAGAACAGATAGAATAGCTATATGCAAAGAGCACCTATAGGATTCCGTTGCTTGACAGGGGGAAAAGTCTCTTTCGCAGGAACAGCCTGGCAAGCATAGTCTTCCTGTAAGAGAGACTGATCCCCCCCCCGATAGTGGGAGTAATTTGTGTATAGGTGTGCGCTGCATAGCTGCCAGAAAGCGGCGGGGATAGTCTATGAATTAATAAATAAAGGCTTGGCATACTAGTATACGTGTGGATAGAGGGAGTAAAGTGCTAGCAACTATAATTCTAAGACTTCTAGGCCTAACGCCTAGCGCATAACCGTGTACTAGTAACTAGGTATAGACTTAGGGGACGCACTAGTAACCTGCCTATAGCCCGCTATAGGTACTAGTAACTAAATTTAACGCCTAGCTTATAACTAATAGGAGGACCTAGAATAGATACTAGTAATACCACCTATAGCCCACCTATAGGTACTAGTAACTAAATTTAACGCCTAGTTCTCTATACTAGTAACTAGCTTAATAAGTTACTAGCGCCTACTAAATACTAATAGCTTATAGCTTAAGTTACTAGCATATAGTAAGTACTAGTAGCCTGTACTTAACTACTACTAGTGCCTACTAGGTATTAGTATTTTAGTAATTAGTATACTAGTAATAGCCTTATTAATATACTAGTAACTATATAGTATAGGGTCTATTTACTAGTAATAATCTTTACTCTCTATACTTATTACTAATAACGTAGAGGGAAGTGTTTATAGTTACTAATAACGTAGAGATAGCTAAAGGGAAGTGTTTATAGTAATATTTCTATATACTAGGTCTTATCTACTTCTAAGTATTAAGGGAGGAAGGTAGATATAATCTATAATATAAAGGGGACTATAATGCTTTAGAGTATAACTAATCCTAGTGTCTGCTAAGTAATACTATAGCGTAGGTGGTATATAACTAAAGAAGAAGCTATAGAATATAAATAGGAGCTTCTATTTCTAAACTAAGGCGTTTTTATAGAAGAAGCTAGGCAGCTACTACTAGGCCTATTATAAATAAGAGAGTTAGCTATAGGCCTCTAAGACTAGATAAGTGCCTTAATACTTAAAGAGATAACTATAGATTAATTAATTATATATTAAGATATTATCTATATACTATTATTACTATTAACGTAGCCTTTAGAGTAGGTAGCGCTGCCGCTAGGTATAGTTACTAGACTATATAATATAGTACTAAGTTTAATATATTAATATAAGTAGCTATCTTAAATAGATAAGTATATAAATATATATATATATAAGTATATACTATTTCTTCTAAAATTTATCTATATAAGTATTATTATAATATCTTACTTTACTATTAATAAGTTAGTTTAGTATATAGTAAAACTAAGTTTATAGGATAATAATATAAATAAGATAAGTATAGGTTAGCCTATAAGGGAGTAGTTTCCTTATAAAAGCTCTAACTATAGCTATAGGTAAAAACGCCTAAAATAGTAGCCTCTATAATAATAAGGATATTAAAATACTAGATTATATTAATATAAGCTATAATAAGGTTACTTTATAAGATATATAATAGCTTATCTTATTATAATTTATATTATTTTAAGAAGTTAAGTATATATTATAGTATATTATAGCTAATTAAATAATAGATATATAGGTTATAATAATCTCCTAGAAAGCTTAGTATAGTTCTAAAATAACTAAGTTAAGGTAAAAGTAAACTATCTTACTATATATAATACTTAACCTTAGTAGAAACTTTATATAACTTAATATAATATAAATTTTTATATAAATATAAAAGGTAATATTTAATACCTAGATAGTACTATTAAGTATAATATAAATAGTGTCTTATAGTTTATTAATAGTTAAGGGGCTTACTATAGTTATTTATACTCTTAATAGAGTTATTAGTAGTAAGAATAAGCTATATCTTCTTTTTAGATTTAGATATATATAGCTATTTAGTTTCTTAAAATTACTAAGAAAGAGGATAAAATATAATAAGAAGTATAGGTTTATTAAAGTAGAAAGCTACTATACTAATACTATACTAGTATATAAGCTTTATTATAATATATAAGATATTCTTACTACTATAAGCTATTTATATTATCTTAGACTTATTAGTAGTTATTAGAAAAACACTATTTACTCTTTACCTTTTCTACTACTTACTTTCTCTAAAACTATAGAGTCTTTTATATAAGTATATTATAAATCTAAAATATAATATATAGCTTATCTCTTATAAGAAATCTCCTTTAAAAGTAAATAACTAAATATTTTAAAAGTTAGTTTTAAAGGCTTTAAACTATATACCTAATAAGCTAAAATATATTTATAATAAGCTTTCTAGTATTACTAATTATAAGGCTACTAACTACTTATTATCTAATTATATTATATAAGCTAGATTAAGGGATTATATTAAAGAATATCTTTTTAGACCTAAAGGAGGATAACTTTAATAAATTCCTACTAGTATAAGATATAACTAGAGATAAGGTAGTTAATATTAGTATTAGGCTTATTTAATATCTAGAAAAAAGAGAGAAAGTAAAGTAATTTAAGGCTAAGGAGTATATATCTATATATAAATAAGATATATATTTAAGGGTATAAATTCCTAATCTTACTACTTAGGCTAGAAATAGATCTATTATATAACTTATATCTAAGGTACTTTTATAAACCTTTAGATAGTCTAGCTAGTTACTTAAAAACTTAATAATATATAAAGCTTAGTAAAAAATAATAATATATTAAAAGACTAAAGCCTAAATAGTAGATTATTATCTTAGAGAAGTATTTATAAAATAAATAGGTTTAAATAAATATATTTAAACTATTTTTATCTAGTAATTAATATTAAATATCTTCTCTTAGATCTATATTACTAATTTATTTATCTCTAAAGAAGATAGGTTAAGGAGTATAATAGGCTATAATACTAACCTTTTAATAGCTTATTTTAGATTAGGAAGATAGTATTAGTATTATACTTTTAATAAACTATATAAATAGCCTTCTTTAAAATATCCCTTAAGGTTCTTAGATAGCTAAAAAGTCTTTTTTAATTATCTTTTAGTTATAGTTTACTTAGTAGTTACTTAATATTACTTATATAATAGCCTTAGTATATTTAGAGTAAGTAAATATTAAAAAGAGTAAGTTATTAATATATAAGGACTAGGCCTAAATCTTACTAAAATCCTAATTATAAGTCTATAAAATCTAGCTAAAGTTATTATTTAAGAATATAATTTTTAATATCCTTTAGTAGTATTAATAATTTTATAGTAAATATCTTAACTTTATTATATAACTTAGCCTAGATAGGTAGTGTAGATATTAGTCTATAGGTATAATTATCTATTATATTATAGATATATATTAAGTAATAAGTATAATACTTTAATTATATAGTTAGAATATAAGTTTATTTAAAAGTAAGTATTTATATTAAATAAGGGTATACTAATTTTAGTATATTAATTTAAATAATAGCCTAACTTTAACTAGTATAGTTTTATTATATAATATAGTTTATATATATAATAGATAATAGTAATTAAATTACTTTAACTTAACTATTTAATTACTTTAAAGAAGGAAACTATTTTTTTTTATAAATTAATAATTTAAGTTAATATTAATAGTATTAATCTAATATTATAGGTAAATTTAGAGGCTTATTTATAATAAGATATTTAAAATTTAGCTTATATTATCTATAACTTAAACTACTAGACTAGATATATTTTCTAATATTATATTTATAATAATAAAGTTTCTTCTATTTCTTAATTAGTTAGAGTATACTAGACACTATAAAAAACCTATATAAGAGTCTTAACCTTATCTAAATAAGTAATTACTAGAAGTATTAATCTACTTAAAATAAGTAACTACTACTTACTTTACTAAATATAGAGTTATATAAGATTTATTAAAGATTAGCCCTTAAGGGCCTTAGTAAGTATATTATACTTAATTATACTATTTTTATAGCTATAATAACTTTTAATTTACCTATTACTTTTTTTATAGAATATAATTATATTAAGTAATATTAGAATTTTATATAGCTATATATAGGTAAGTTAGTACTTCTAGTAGTCTAGACTCTTATCTAATATAATTTCCTTTATAACCTAAATTACCTTATAAGTATTTATAAGGTATAAATCTTTAGCTATTAATATTTTATTCTTTATATTACCTTAGAAAGTATAAATTTAACTTTTATTAGCTTAGTATAATAACTAGGGATTATTATATATTAATAATATTAAGAATAATAGCTCTTTATTAGAAAGACTCTCTTTAATTAAGAAAGTATTACCTAAAATAAGTAATATAGTAGGTAAGTCTATAGGTAGCTAACGCTATATTACTAAAGCTAGTAATTATTATCTATACTATAGTAATATTATATATATATATAGTATAAGGTTAAAGATATTATAAAATATTAATATTAATTAGTTTATTTTAATAATTTTAAATAAATAAATAATAAGAAGGGTTAGTATAATACTACTAATTATAGGCTATTCTAAGATAAGTAATAGCTATTTACTAATTAAGCTATTTAGTAGATAATAGTTATTACCTATTATTATATTAATAATATAGTTTATAAGCTAGCCTATATTATTCTTTATAGGTTACTTTATTTATAGGCTATTAGGCTAACCTTAGTTAACTTTATACTTAGTACTTTTATTACTATCTTTTTAGAGATTAGCCTTTATATTCTTTAGTATACCTAGAGACTAACCTATTCTTCTTAGTACCTAGAGACTAACCTCTATATTCTTTAGTATACCTTAGTACTAGCCTTAGTGTTCTTCTTAGTACTAAGCCGTCCCCTGCTGTCCTCTGCCTACCTGAAGACTGGCCCCCGTGTTCCTCTGCCTACCTGAAGACTGGCCCCCGTGTTCCTCTGCCTACCTGTAGACTGACACCTATGGTGCCCGTCCACGGTGCCCGTCCACGGTGCCCATCCACGGTGCCCGTCCACGCTGCCTATCCACGGTGCCCATCCACGGTGCCCATCCACGGTGCCCATCCACGCTGCCCATCCACGCTGCCTATCCACGGTGCCTATCCACGCTGCCTCTCTCTCCAGGCTGAATTTCCACGCTGCCCATCTACGCTGCCCATCCACGCTGCCCATCCACGCTACCTTTCCACGCTGCCTTTCCACGCTGCCTTTCTACGCTGCCTTTCCACGCTGCCTTTCCACGCTACTCCTAGCTATTTTACTTACTATTACTTTTACTATTCTTTTATATTTATATATAAGATTAGCGTTATTAATAGGTAAGTAAAGTATTATAGTAAATATAATATAGTTATAATATAATATATTTTATTATTTTCTTTAACTTTCTATATATAGTAGAGAAAAAGCTTTAAGGCTATAATAAAGCTTAATACTTTATATACTAATTTACTATACTTACTTATTTATAGAATTTTTTTCTTATAAAAGACTAAGGGATCTTATAGGAAAGCCTTTAATAACTATAGATCTTAGACATTTACTTACCTAGCCTATAAATAAAATATGCTAGTAGTAGACTAGAGTGTTAATAATATATAATACCTAGAGACTAGCTTACTCCTTACCTTTATAACCTACTTTTAAGTTATTATTTCTAGTAAATTTTTAATTTAAGTTTATATCTTTAATAGGTATAGTATAATATATAAAGAATTTATATTAATATTCTAGCTACTAGTCTTATAATAAGCTATTATCTAATATATACTTATAAACTATATCTTATAGTAAAACTCTACCTTAATAAAATATAATAATAGAATATATCTTTAGTCTTATAGTTATAAACTTATAAAGAGAGCTAAGGATAAATTATAATTACCTTATACTAAAAAAGTTACCTATTTTTAGTAATATTATATTATCTTTTATTATTTATATTATAAAGTTAGATATAGTAGTTAGATTTAATAGTTATAAGATAGCTATTTAACTATTTATTAAAATATAGTAAGTTATTATACTAAGTATATATTATAATAAAATTTAGTTTAAAGTAAAAAAATTATTATAAGATTTACCTCTTATATTATAACTTTTAAAATTAAAATAGGTAGATAAGAAGACTATAATAATATAATTACTAGTACTTACTAACTTTAATTAACTAATTTTAAGAGTATAAGACTAGGTAGTTATTTTTATATAGTAAATAGGTAGGGAAGATATCCTTAAACTATAGTATATAGTAGGCTATATAAAAATTACTATTAAAATTATAATAAAAAGTAGCTAAAAAATAGCTTTATTTATATTTAGTTTTTATATATATCTACCTTATAATAACTTAAGCCTTATAGGTATTAGCCTTTATATAATAAAGTTAATTAAAATTATTAACTAGTATTAGGCTAATAATCTATTTTTTAGATATAATAAGTAGTTCTCTAATAGGACTTATATATATTACTACTAATAATAGATTAACTAGCAGCCTAAGCGTTCTAGGCGCTAGTACTCGGCCATAGGCTAGCCGCCCCTAATAGCAGCTACCTAGCTAACCTTACCTAGGTACCCTAATTAGTTATAGTCTAAGTACCCTTAATACTACTACTTTAGTTTATTACTTCTTATTATAACTTCCGCCTATTATCTTTTCTTAGCTATCTTATTCTACCTCCTTCTTCCCCCTTTTACTAATAGTAAAAATACTACTACACTTAATATCTAATATAACACTATATATAAAGTATAATTAGACGTTATATTATAAGTATTTCTTTTATATACTATATAGCTCTTATAATAAAGGTAGAGGTAGTAAGTTTATAAAGGGGTAGTAGTTACCTATTACTATTAGACCCTAGGCTAATATTACTCTTTATATTTTTATATAGAAAGCTTACTTTTTTTATAATATTAGTTATAAAGTTATAGACTAGTATACCTTTATCTATAGTTATAATATTAAGTTAAAAGACTTTTAATAGTAAGGTTATTAATATTACCTTAAGTAATAAAAGTGCTTTAAATAATACCTTTATAAACTTAGAACTATATATTAACCTATAAATTAAAATAAGAGAGCTAGCTAAGATAAGTAGGCTTATTATTAATAAAAAAGCTTTAAATAATATACTAATAAAGCTATTAGTAATTAGGTCTTAACTATATAACTATAGTTATTATAAGGATATAGATAGTATAAGATATTATAAGAATATAGGTAGTAAGCTAGTAGGCGAGGGTAATAATAGCTCTAGTAGGCTTAACTTAGTCGCTAGTATTAACTAGATACTAGTATATATTTATTATTATTTATTTCCTAAGTAAATAAACCTTAAATTATTAAGGTAGAGATTTAATAATATAATACCTAACTTAAAGGAAGATTCTAATAATAAGGAACTTTAAGACACTAATATAAATATAAAACTAAATAAAGCTAATAAACTAACTATAAAAGGAAAATAAGATAGGCTATAAGGTAGAATTATAGTAAGGAATATATTATATAATAAGTATAAAGCTTTTATTAAGCTATTAAAATAAAATATACCTAGTATAGAGAAAAGATAAAAATAACTATAATATAAAGTTAATATAGCTTTTTAGGTTAACTTACTAATAGTTAATAATAATAAGGAATTATAATAAAGGTTTTAGTTATTTAAAAGAGGTTTTTAATACTATTTAGCTAAAATAGTACCTAAATATATATTAAGGGTTCTTAATATAGGTATTAATATAGTAATTATATTAATAGACTAAAATATATATAACTAGTTATTATATCTTTATATTATTACTTCCTTTTTCTTTATACTTTATAAAAAGCCCTAATTTAAAATAATATTATTTATAATAAGTAAATACCCTTTATTCCTCTTCTTATATTAAATATATATATAACTATAATTAAGTAGGTCCTCTCTAGATAGAGCTATCTCCTTATTTATAGATTTAAATAGTTTAATAATATTATCTATTTTAGTCTTCTTATTATCTACTCTAGGCCTATTAGCATATAGTATATAGGTATCTATATAGCTATAAAGCTATACTTAATATAATAAAAATAAATTATATATAGTTATTCCTACCTTTATATAAAAGATATTTACTTTATATAATATAAATTATTATTTAATATTCTATTATAGTACTAATAGTAGTTACCTTATTATCTAAAGGCTTTTAAAACTTTATACTTTACTAAATATATATTATAGTATTTTAATATAGTTAATAAAAGTAAGAAGAAAGTAAAATAAAAGTCTATAAGTTATTATAGACTAGTATCTATAAAATAGTATAACTATTAGTATATAAATTTAATAAATTAAAAAAAATAAAGGTAAATATAAACTAAAAAGATATTAATTAAATATTACTATTATTCTTTAGCTACTTACGTTACTAGCTATATTAACTTTATAATAAGATCTTAAGACTTAGGAAAGTTAAAGTTAGGAGTTACCCTATTAATTATTACCTAGGTACCTTTATCTATATATATACTAAAGAATTTATAGTAGACTAATTTAGAAATTAGTAATAAGGTATAGTATTAAATATTATATAATAGTATTACTATATTCCCTAAGTTATTACTAGCTAACTTATCCTCTACTAACTTACCTATAAGCTCTATATATATTACTAGGCTATTAATTAACCCTAATAGTTTTATATAATAATTCTTAAGAATATTTATTATAATCCCTTTATTTATATAGTAAATATTAAGAAGTATTTACTATTATTATTCTTAGTTATTATAGTAATAAAATAAAGGTAAAGTTACCTTTTTTTATTTCCTCTTTACTTTCTTAATAGTACTAATTACTCTAGATATATAGTATAATAAGTCTATAAAACCTTAAATAAGACTTTAGCTAATTATTAATAAAAAAAAATCTAAATAACTATATAGTTATTAGGTAATATATTATTATTTATATTTTAGTAATTTCTTATTTTTACTAATTAGTATTTAGATTTTATACCTAAGCTAAGTAAACTATATTATAGTAGCTTCTTTATAAAGTAAATATACCTTTTTTTATATAAGATATAGCCCTTATCTACTACTTATTAGTTACTTTTAGCTAATAACTTATTATAGCCTTTATAGTCTTTATAATAAAATTCCCTTCCCCTTTTTTTTACTTTAACCTTAATCTATATATTATAGCTCTTTATAGCTTAACTATCTAGTAACTTACTAGGCTCTAGTCTAGTAAAGACTACCTTATTAAACTATAGTATATCTAGCTTAGGATCTTTACTCTCTTATAGCTTAAGATAATTAATATCTTTATTATTATTATTAATAATCTTATTATTATATTTTATACCTATAATAATATTAAGGAAATAGTTATACTTTTAAATTTTAGTATATTTTATTAGCTTATCTAATTTCTTACCTAATATATTATAAATAATGCCCTAGCTAGTATCCTATATATACTATATATCTAGATCTAGATAAGAGTATTTAATACTATAATTACTATATAATACTATTTTTACTAGAGCTTATAAGGTAAGCTTCCTAGTAAGTTTCCCTAGGCTATATTTATTTTAAGGGATTACTTTATACTTAACCCTAAAATCCTAATATAATAGATTAATATCTTAGAAACCCTTACTTAAAGTAATACTTATAGGGTTATTACTTAGTATAATAGTAGTATTAGAGTAATAGATATAATAGGTTTAATTAGTAGCTATACTAGTATATAGTTACTAGTAATTTATTTATAAAATAATAACTTTAGTATTAGTTATAATAAAGCTATACTAAGTAGACTATAATACTAGATAGGTAATAATTTAGTTAAGGACTTTCTTCTACTTATTAAAGTTATTATTATTATTAAGTATACTAGACTACTATTTTAAGCTAATTTTTATATCTCTAGGAAGTATATTTAATATCCTTTTAATAGATATATAAGAATTTAATACTATTAACTAGTTAGGTATATATATAATATCTAGTTAATACCTACTTTTATAACTAAAATACTTTATATTACTACTAAAATTTAAGGTATAATTAATAATAAGGATTAGAAATTACCTTAGCGTGTCCTATATTATATCTTCTCTAAGAATATATAAATTAAATAAAAATAAATGTAGTTTATTATTACCTTTATATTATTAACCTAGCTCCTTCTTAAAGATATATTTAATATTTTTATAAGTAAAGTCCTCCTAAGGATACTAGTTATTAACACTAATCTTAGTCTTATAGTCTATATTTAGCCTAGTAATACTATTAGTATTATTAAAATCTTATATTATAGACTTTTCTATAAGTACTTTAAGAATTATAGGTATTCTTAGTAAATAAAATATAAAGCTAAAAATAAGGTTAATACTTAGGTAAATATATATATGCTTGGAATTATCGCTTAAGAGATTAGGATTTATCTATATAAAGACTTATTAAAAGGTTTAGCTAATATCTAACTACTTCTAATAAGAAAGGTCTTATATTTATAGTTAAATATAAGTATATAAGTATTAACTAGTAGTCTATTTCTTCTAATATTTATTATACCTTACCTTTACCTAAGGCTAGTATATAGGACTTTTTATATTATTAAGTTCTAATATTTCTAACTAAATCTACTAGTATAGATAATATCTAATATATTAATTAGAATAGACTTTTTCTAGTTATATACTAATAAAATTTAAGTATAAGAGAAGTTAATAGCCTAAAAGAAGTTTAGTAACTCTTTTATTATTACTTTATTATTTTCTCCTTCTTTTATATATTTATAGATAAGAGCTATATATTCTATATTACTTTATATTTATCTTAATATCTTTTTAATTTTAAGATATAGTAACTACTATAGAAGTAATAGCTAGTATAGTGTTTCCCCCTTAATCTTTATCTAACTATAGTATTTTCTTATATAGGGTATATTAGTAATTATTTTTACTAGGCTAGAGGTATAATTATCTAGTAGGCCTTTATATTTCTATTTATTACTAAAAGTAAGTATATTATTATAGCCTTCTTTCTAATTCCTAGGGTATAGGTTAATAAGAATAAGACCTAAGGAGGGATTATCTTATATTAAAGCTACCTATATTAGCTATAAGATAGCTATAGCTTAGTATTCTTATTATAGTATATAATATAATAGTAGTATAGGTGGCTTCTAATCTTAGAACTAAAGCTAAACCTAAAGTAAATTAGTAATAGTATTATATAGGTATATAGTCTTAAGGAATTCCTTATAACTTTTAAAATAAAGGGGCTACTATTACTAAACTAAATTTTCTAATTATATCTATTAATATTATTATTAAGCCTTTCTTAAAAGAATATCTAGATAAGGTAAATAGGTCTAGTAATAATTATAATATATAGATTAAATATATATTATTATAGATATAGAAGCTTTAGTGCCTTAAGTAAGTAACCTAGTAGGCTATCTTTATCTATTAGCTTATAGTTAAGGAATTCTTAATTTATAAGTATATTATTAAGTCTAGCCCTAGGTAGCCTTAGTTTATATAAGCCTTAGATAGTGGTAGGAGTAGCCTAATACTTCTTTATTAAGGGTAATTTTTTTTTTATCTAGCTAGATATTAGATTATTATATTATAGACTTAAGCTAAAAAATAATAAGAGGCTTTATTAAGGAGTGCCTTACTAAGGTTTATAAATAAATTAGGTATTAAGTAGTTAAGAATAAAGGTAGCTACTTATAAAATAAGGCTAATATAGAGTAACTAAGGCGAGAAGTATTTACTAAGCTATTACTAGGCTTAGCTTATTATAGTAAGTAAGCCCTCTATATAGTTATAAGTATTAAGCCTTATATAATATAGTATTATATACCTATATATAGCTAGTATAGGTGTTATAGCTAATTAGTAAATCTTTACCTAGTTATATATTATTTAATAAATATATAATATTTAAACTAAATTTTTATTATATATCTTATAAAAGAAGGTACTTTCTACCTCTTATATATAGAATTTAATATATTAATCTACCTAGTAACTTTAGTAAAGCCGCTAAATCCTCTACTTATATATTACTATATTTAAACTCTTATTTAGCGGCCCCTATTATATTCTAATATGCTATCACTTAGTATCTATTTTATCTTTTTTTTTTATTAATAGTTATTTACTAGTAGTAAACTATCCTTAAGTCTAAAGTCATAGTAGTTCTATTTTAGTAGTAATAGACTTATATAGTAGTAAAGAAAATAGCGATATTTTTATCTTAAATTAAATAGAAAATTTTCTAAATATATTTTAGCTATCTCTTTATTTCCCCTTATTACCTAATATATATAGAAGTATATAATAAGAATATAAAAGTAGTTAATTAGTAAGTATTACCCTAAGAAATACTATATAATAGTAGTCTAATAGTATATAAATATATATTTACTATACTTTTTAGTATTATTTATCTTTATACTAACTAATATATTTAGATATTTTAAGTATAAAAGTAGAAAAACCACTTATTTAGCTATATTAATAATTATAGTAGAAATCTAGTCTTCTAGGCTAGCCTATATTAAGACTTTAGTATCTACTAGTAAAAGTAGATAGAAATATCTTTCCTAACTAAATACCTTAGTAAAAGAACTACTTTAACTATATAAGGATTTACCTAGATAAGTTCTATAATATATAGGTAAAAGATACTTTATTTTACTATTCCCTTTATCTAGTTATTAACTATTAAGTATATTACTAGACTTTTAGTAAAAGAGGAGCTAACTAGCTATAAGGATATTAAGCTATTTATATTTATTAGTTATCTAGTATATTATAGCCTATAAGTTATATTTATAAATACTAACTAAGCTAATAATAGAAAATACTCTTTATTATAACTAATAGCCTTTTTTAATAAGAAGTTTAGTTAATATAGTATAAGAGCTAGGGGATATAATACTTATAAGGTAGGCTAAGTATAGTGTCTTATTTAGCTATACCTAATTTAAATAGCTATAAGAGAGAAAGTAATTATAGTGATACTAGTAGAAGCTATGGATAGGGGGACTTATTTATTTATAACTAAGTAAGGGATAGGAACTAGAGAGTAAAGTAAGATAGTAGGGAGTTACTACTTTTTTTAAGGAAAGAAGTAGATAGAGGTATATATTAATATCTAGATTTAGCTTAAGTAGCTATTTCTTATATATATATTTACTTACTTTACTATCCCCTCTAAAGTTAACTACCCCTTTATTAGATAGCTACGCCGAGTTTCCTACTATATTTGTCCGTATATAGCCTAGTGTCGCTCTAAACGCGCCTTTTATTGTTAGATAAGATCGAAAGCACCCCTAAGTATAGGCCTTTGCTTTTATATGAGAAATTATTAGAATTAATTTCACGAATATTAGTGTAGCGGGCTTTAAGTACTTATAATCCCGTCGTGGTGATCCCGGCATTACTAACAACGTGTAGGACATTTAGGCTCTAAAGCCTGGAAATAGCAGGGAGAGCGGCGTCGGTGATACTATATTGATTTAAGTAAAGATATTATATCCTAGGGGCTGCTCTAATTATAGGAGAGATAGTAGTGTTTATTAGACTATGGTATTATAGGCTTAGGGACTAGAGGTATTTAAGTGCCTTATTAGGTAGACCGAGGAAGGTGACATAGTTGACGAGGTTATAACACTTGACTTATAGCTCGCGTAGGTTATTATAGTTAGATAATAACACTATGATAGAAGCACTTATAATTTATCTGTAATTATGTAGCCTAAATGACATAATATTCTAGTAGTTCTCAGCGAGGGTAAGAACATACTTATCATAGAGCTAAGAATAATTAAAAAAACTAACCTATAACCGTGATATATTAGTACTTAAGCTAATATATGGTTAGTGTTAAGTGTAGAAGTATATAGTAGTAATGTGAACTTAACATAAAGTGATAATTTAAGAAAACGGAGAGGTCGTACTTATTTTAAATCCTTATAGCTCTTCGTGAGTGTGGACAGGCTCTAAAGACTCGTCTTATAAGAGCGTATTTTAAGACGGCGAAGGGCAGTGTAGCGGTTAGCGATGGTGCAAATATGAATTCTAACATTATCATACTCGTTAACAATTTTGAGTACACGTAGGGAGGTTATGTCTTATATGAGGGGGGCTAACCCCGTTTCGGTAAGGCGGTAATTGAGGAGTTTAAGGGCCTTAAGCCTAAACTAGGCGTCAGGTAAGACTTTATTATCAGCCACATTACTATCAAGACAGACGACTTTAACTATGCTACGGTAGTTAAACCAGGTCCTAGGCGTAGCAAGCGTCCTCTAGATAAGGCGGCTATCCTTAAAAAGAATATAACCCTAGAGAAGACCGACGGTGTTCTTTGCCTATTACTTATAGACGAGTAATACGCCCTTAAGATATAATCTTTAACGAAGTTAGGAGAAAATCATAACGAGGATCTTATCAGGAAGATGTTTAACACCGCCAATAACCTATATATCCTAGTGTTCTATAGTCTATAGGCCGAGTTTAGAAGCTTAATAATTTAGGGTAATAATGTGGTATAGGCCACTATTAAGGGGTAGAATAATAATAAGATATAAATAGGTAATAGGAAATAAGAGAGAAAGAGTTAATTAATTAAGTTATCTATAACTCTTAGATTAATAGGCCTATCTAGCCCTTATATAGTTAAGATATATTTCTATATACCTTAATTACTTTTTAAAGACTACTAGTCTAGCTTTTACTTATCCCTTTTTACTATTATCTAAACTATATAGTTTAAATATATAAGTAGTTATATAGCCTATTCCCTATTCTATAATATTTATAAATAGGTTAAGTTTTATTATACTTTATAAGTTATTATTAGCTATAAGTTTTAGTTTTAAGTATAAATTATTTTAGGGGCTTAGTAGGCTTACTAATAAGTAAATTATCTTATATTAGCTATAAAAGTCTTAGCTCTAATACTTAAAGAGCTATACCTTAGTAGGTTTTTACTTATAATAGTAAATATTATTTATATATAGATTATATATATTAAGTATATTATATTATTATACTAATATTTCTAAATCTTTACTCTAGTTAATATATAGGAGGGTATAGGAGATTAAAGTATTATTCTAATATTATTACTTTTTTATTAGTCTTATTATACTAAATTAGATATATTATAATATATAAGTTAAGTCTATACTTTAGTAAAAGAATTATAGTAAATAAGATAATCTAAATATTAAATAAGCTTAGATTATATTATTTATTTATAAGTAAGTTACTTAAAAAGTTATTTTTTAGTATAACTTAATATACTCTTTAAAGTTTATTATATATACTAAGGTTAGATAGTCTAAGGTTCTCCTTAAAGAGGAGTATAAGACTAAGTACTTATATATATAGAATTAATCTTACTTATAAAATACTAGATTTATAGACCTTTTAGGAATATAGCTAAGAATAACTTTTTTAAGTAGATTTTTTAATAAGCTTCTCTAGCTACCCCTTAAGAGATAATTAAGTAATTACTATAATAATTATTCTTAGATTAGAATATATATATTTATCTATATCTAGTCTATATAACTTACTAATATTTATTATAAGGTATTTCTTTAGTAGATCCTTAATAATAGAGGAATAATTCTCTTCTTTATGCCTAAAGTTATAGTTAATCCTCCTTAGGTGTTAGTAGTTCTTATATCTAGCTTCTATACCTTATATATAGTAACGCTTTAGGTGTTAGTAATAACCTATAGTGTTATAGCTTAGGTTAGTATTTAAGTAAGAGTTAGAAAAAACTAGCTAGATATACTATATACTATTAATATTCTATTATAACTAAGCTTAATAACCTTTTTTCTTATTATTATTATATTACTTACTATTATTTAAATATAAAGACTATATATACTTATTTAAGGAAATAAGAGAAGTATTAATATTTCCTTTAAGGTAATAGGTAAGAATCTCTTAAGGCTATTAAAATAATTATCTTATAAATAAGTAAGATTAGCTCTTTTATATAAAGCTATATAATAATAGTCTAATTTTTACTAGTATATTATAACTAGGTAAATTAAGTAATAGAAACTAGTAAAAAATTAAAGATAGGTAGTCTTTTTATATTTTATATATTTTTTATATTACTTATAATTACTATATTTAAGGTCTTATATAATAGATATAAAGTTATCTTTATATTTATCTTATTATATAACTCTATATAAGTTTTTTTATATACTATTATATTATTATCTTCTACCTAAGATATATATAATATATAAGTAAAGTATCTAGAAAGGCTAGTTTTAATATTAGTATTATAGAAAAACTTAGTTATATATATTTCTTAGGAGAAGTAGCTATTATTCTAGGTCTAGTAGGACTATCTCTACCTTACCTATACTTATTATACTATATAGGAACTATAAACTACTCTTTAGCTATACTAGAAGGGTATTTACTAAATTTAAAACTATCTAGTAAGGTATCTTTATATAACTTTTTATTTATATATTATTATATTTTTTTTATATAGCGTTTATAGGTAGAGGTTCTAATTCCTTTAGTATATATTATCTAAGTAAGTAATAAAACTAGGCTATAGTTAAGTGTAAAAGTCTTACCTAAGTAAAGAGGGTATAAAGTAAAATAATAAATACTATCCTTAAAGACTATTTATAAGAGTTACTTTATAAATAATAAAAGAAGCTTAGTTTTTTAATATAAAAATAAATAGTATCCTCCTTTTATAGCTTTTATAAAGATATATACTTATAAGTATATAAAGTAGAAGTATATACTTATTAGACTTATAGCTAATATTTCTCTTATCTATATTAAGAACCTATATCTAAGAAATAACTATTAATATCTAGAATAAGAATCTTCTTATTATTATAGTAGATAGTAGCTATTTAAGGAGTAAGGTCTTGCCACTAGGGCTATAAAAATAAGCTACTAGTATTAGTAGTTATATAGAGAATATTATAAGGAAATAGTCTAAGTTTAGCTAATATAAGTATTTCTAAATAGTATACCTAAGTTAATTAGTATAAGCTATTTATAATAAAATATCCCTAAGTTAAGGATAATATTTAATAAAGGTCTTTAAACTTTATTACTAAGTATTTTATTCTTTTATTAAAGCCTTTATTTTAAAGTATTTATAAAGCTAGTAAAATAAGTTTAAAATAGACTACTTATTATATAAAAATAAGTTATAATATTTAATTATACTTAAGAGAAATACTTTACTTATTATTAAAAGCCTTAAAACTAAGATTTTAGTATAGTGTCTTAGTAGAAGTATATATACTTACTATACTATTTAAGAAGCTCCCTCTTCTTATTAATAGATAACTTATTAATATATACTATACTAAATAAGAACTTAATAAATAGGTCTTTAAGTAGCTAATAATTATTACTTAAGTAGGGATATAAGAAAAGTATATAAATCTTTATACTTAGTAAGTCCTATATAATATATAATTTATAGAAACTTTCTAGATATTTTATAGATTAGTACGCTTATAGAGCCTTTATTTAATTAAGTATCTTTAAATATTATAGTTTAACTATAATTTATCTCTAATTATAATATAAGAATAGTAAATTAGCCCCTTTATTAAAGGTATAGTTAGTCTTATTTTTATTACTAAGATATAGTAATATATATAACTATAGTTACTAATAATTTTATATAATATTTTATAAGTACTTATTATAAGATTCCTTAGCTAGTCTATTAAGATTAGTTATAGGTAAAAATAACATCTAGCTAACCTACTTTTCTTTATAAATATAATACCTAAGTTCCTCTAAGGCGTTTTTAAATAGGAGTAATTTAGCTTACTATAGTACTATTACCTTAAGGCTCTAGAGAGCTATATAGATATTCTTATCTAATATCTTAATACCTAGTATATTTTAAATAAGATTTTAAGTATTATTAATAACTAAAATAGTATTCTAAATATTATTAAAGACTATTTTAGTAAGTAAGAGACTAAGGTAATATATCTTAAATACTATAAGAACTAAAAATTTATCTATAAGGGGGTTCTTAGTTATTACCTTAGTACTAAAAGGTAGTAGGTTTATATATTATAAAAGGAAAATACTAATATATCTTATATAATAAAGTCTAGTATTATATAATAATATAACTAAGTATAATAAATTATAATACTAAGGGTTTTAATAAGCTATTATTAAAGATCTAGAATATATAAAAATTATAATATAAAGAAATAAAAAGAAAAAGAGAATAATTACTAAGATATAGATAATCTATTTCTCTTATAATTAACTAAAAAGGAGCTTATTAGTTACTAGCTACTACTACTATATACCTACTCCTCCTTATCTATAAGCTTAAATCTATATCTAAAAATAATATATTATTAGTATAGTATATTCCTTAGCCTAATTATAATAAACCCTACTAAAAGCTTATTATAAT